TAAATCCCACAAAACTCTCTAGCTCTTAAGAACATTACCATTTTGTCATTTGGAAACAGGAGATTTAAAAAGAAATTTTTTTTAAATAATGTTAATGGCAAATTACATCTGCCATGGCAGGCTTAGAAGGAATGATTCATCACATATTTAAAATTAGGAGAGATTTTGAAGGTCTTCTTGTCCAATCCCTTCAATTTATTAGAAGAAGAAACTGAATTCAAGAATAATTGATTTAGTTAATGACACAAGCAAGACTTCAACCTTGACTTTCAGATACAAGTGTCAAAAAGATTTTAAAACTTGTTTACATTTTCTGGTATCATGAGAATTAGACTGAAATAATTTTTCTGGCATTGTTCTTTCAACTGACATTTAAAACGTTAGGTTCCAAAGGTTACAACAAATTATACTTTACTAGAAGATAATTGCACATATTTTTACTTCTTTTACAGCTTCCCAAATACACAGATCATTTATTTTTCCAATTATGAATCATACCCAGGTGGTGAGATACCAAAATCTTGCAAATATATTGAAAGTCAGGATTTAATCATCTGTGTACTTGTGAACAATTCCAACATTAAATATATTTACACCCACATTAGCTAATCTTATATAATTATCATGCTTGAGTTTTTTGTAATTGAAAATTCTGTGATTCTTTCCCCCCCGTAAGTGATGTGAACTTAATATTATGGAAATTTCACATTTACGTATTTCTCTTCTAGTGTGTAATACTGTCATTATTCAATCACCTTCTAAAATACCCTATTTACAGAATATAGAAAATTATATCCTGGAAAAGTGATTATGAAATAAAAATGTAAAAATGTAACTATAGTATCTCAAAACCATGAAATGCATACATATAATAAACCAAAATGTTAGCAGTATGAGATTATCTTCCCCTCTACTGTTTTTAAAATTTTCTATAATGATCATGTATTTCACAGCAACAAAAATAATTTATATTCTACATATAAACCAAAAAAGAAAAGAATATGAAAATCTGATCTTCTAAACCAAATCAAAAGCTTATCCATTTTCTATCCAAGTGGATAAAATTCATTAATCCATAGGACATGATTTCACATATGCAAATAAATTCATAAACCTTATTAGATGCATCCTCGGAGGGTTGTTGTAAATATTTATCTATATGTCCCCTTGAGTAGTCCAACTATAAGTAACTGAAAAATCTCACCGAGTTTCAAATGAATATGAGTGTAGACTGTTGACTGCTTTAATGCTAATGTCATACTTGGCATTAAGTAATTTACTTACCATGTGCTTTCCGTTTCCTTCCTAGCTTCCTGAGCATCTATTCAAATTATGAACACAGTTTCTGGATCTTAGTCATCACAAATCCAGCTGGAGACCATTTTCAAACTAATATGCAACTGATATGAACATTAAATTTATAAATTCTTAAAAGAGAACTATTGTAATGACAGATTGATTATATAGCACTTTGCTTATCAAAGATTACATGTAACTTGGTCTCCCAGTTTGCTATCGTCTGTTCACTTTTGCCAGTTGAAATTGGTGTTTCAGACATAGTCATGATTTATTCTAAAGAAATACTGTCAACATTAGATTTTTCCATAACAATTAAACTAACAAATACTTATGAGATAGACTAAAACTGGTTCTTGACCTGCAATTGTGTCATGTCACTTTCAGAACATTTAAACAATTTATTTAATGAAATGTATGCCAATTTGAAATGTATTTACAAATATTACCCTCTCATGAGGTAGTGGTCAGTTTTCAAATGAATACCTATTTGTTTAAGAAATCTACACTTCTTAGAAATAAATGTGTGCACCTTGAAAATCCTGTGCGTAAAGAAAATAAGCAAGATAAAATAACACGTGTAATAGCTATTAATTTATAGACAAACATCTCCACTGATTATTAGCGTATTAATCAACATTGCAAATATCAACTAAGCAGCAAATTATGGAAAGCTCTACAAAGACTACTGCAGATTGGGTATCCACTGGTGTCTAGAAAAGG